TATTTCGATGCTCTACCGGAAGATGCATTTGATTTCACTCGGAAGTACCGTGAGGCCACTCACAGGGTTGGAGACTTACCTGTTCTCTCTCTCTCTCTCTCCCTCTCTCTCTCTCTCTCTCTCACCCACGCCTGTGTGTATGTGTGTGTGTGTGTGCATGTATGATAGAGAGAAACAGAGAGATAGAGAGAGAGACAGAGAAAGAGAGAGAGACAGAGAGAGAGAAAGACAAAGAGAGAATAGTTAAGTTTCCAATATCGTGGCTGCCCTCCAATGAATCTTCCGCTACAACAGAGAAATATGCACGACCGCTGCTATTTGTTACTGTGCATGTGTGTGTATATACGCGCGTGTGTGTGTGTGTGTGTGTGTGTGTGTGTGTGTGTGTGTGTGTGTGTGTGTGTGTGTGCAGACTGTGCAGAGAGACAAACAAAAGGTGCAAAATGAACACTTCCTCTATGAATAGATGTATGGTGCCGCTTACCGCCACTCAATGTCGCGCCTTCACGCCACCTCAGCAATCACGTCGCTTTTGAATATTGAGAACTGCACAAAATGTCCCGCAACAACTCTTCCTTCCAAACCTCACATCCTTCTTTTTTGTCTCTTCACTTTTTTCTTCTGCCATTTATATTGTCCACAACTGAATCATCGCATGCTGCTGCTCAAAGCGCAAGAGTGGCACATGTGGAACGACAACGATGTTACAGAGAGGCACATATTCCGCAAGTTTCACCACGCAACAAGAGTGGACGACTTCACACTGCGACCCTCATTGCTATGCACACTGCGGTTGACACTGTGAACCTTGGAAACGGAGCACCCTGCACCTATTGTGGTGCAGAAAAATAGTTCCATGAACGCACGTGGACCACACTTTGTTGTCGCCAAGGCAATGTTCAACCGACACTTTGGGAGTACCCCCCTCCTAACACAACCGCTGACCAAATTCTCCGATTATGGGAAAGCGATGCTCCACAAGGAAGATTGTTGCGATCACGGGCGCGGCAATTCAACAATGCTCTTGCACTTGCATCCCAAATCGTCCAAAAACTGCAACCACCCCCTGGACCTTGGCCTGACATGCTCAGAATCGCGGGTCAATTGCACCATAATCTTGGACCTCTTCTCTCGGACCCTGATCATGAACCCGCGTTTGCACAACTGTATATATATGATCCGCAGGACGATCATGATGCAACAACTGTCCGTTTGAATCGATTCAATTTACCCCTCGATATGCCGCTTGCCACCGTTCAACAAATCAAACAATTGTCGAGCAAACTTCATCGCCTTCTCTTAATATGTAATGTTTGGGTGCATGATTTCATCACTGTCTCCGAGCTCCCTGATAACATGATACGTGATCGCTACATTGTAATCAACCCCGATGCTCGACCCCTGAATGAACACAATCGAAGATACAATAGATCTCAAGGTCTAAAAGAAGTATGTCTGTTGATGCATGATCAGCCTATCAATCGTGAAATAGTCATACATCGTCGAGGAGGCGGTGTGTTACCCATCGCCGAAACAAACCGTGTTTTCAATCCTTTGCACTATGTCCTCCTTTTTCCCTCTGGAGGAAACGGTTGGACACCTGACGCTGATGACGAAAATGATCCTGATATTAGTTGAATCACCGCTCGCGAGTTTTATGCTTTCCACCTTAACACACGTGCCAGTGAACGACCAACATTATTCTACGCCTCACGACTCTTCCAGGAATATAGATGCATGGCGTTTGCAAAAATAGAAAATGGACGCCTTTTATACAACAGGTTGCACCAAACTGAAATTCGTGCTGACCTCTACCAAAACTGCATGATCACTTGATGCAATACGACAACACCGAAAATGTTGGACAACGTATTATCCTACCCGGAACATTTGTTGGTGGCCCGCGAGATATGCACCGCCGTTACCAAGATTCGATGGCGACTGTTCAAGAATATGGACCGCCAGATCTTTTTATTACAATCACTTGCAACTCGCATTGGCTTGGAATTCAAAATGAGCTTCTTCACAACCAACAACCCTCAGATAGACCGGACGTGCTCGCACGTGTCTTCAAAGGATATTTGAAACTACGTATTCATGACATTCACTTTTCACATGTATTCGGACCAACGGTTGCCTATATATACGTTATAGAATTTCAAAAACGAGGATTCCCACATGCTCATTTGGTCATAACATTTACAAACGATTATAAAATATCAACACCAGAACACATCGACTCCATTGTCCACGCCGAAATTCCCGCCAATCCTATGCTTCGTGAACTCATGCTCGCACATATGATACATAACCCTTGCGGAATACACAATCCACAAGCTCCTTGCATGTACAATGACTGTTGTTCGCACCACTTCCCCAAAGATTTTTCGGACCGTACAACATGGAACGAGGAAACTGGGTATCCAATCTACCGCAGACGTCAACCGGATGGACATAGAGGTCTCGGACCATCGACGGAGAAGCCGTGAAAATAGCATCACGCAGGACAACATCAAATTGGGTGTTATCGTTTAGGAGGCCAAGTGCACGACACGCTGATTGGAACGACGGGTCATTGCCAACAGTTCGAAGATGTTCGAATGATATCGCGGCACGAGAATGCGATGATTGAAGGAGCATTCTAAGATAGAAGGTATCACCTGCATTCGGATGGATTGCAGGTATTCGACCGATTGTGTTTGTTGAGCGACGTTGTAACGTCCATTGTTTCTGTGTCTTGTCAAATCGGAAGCGACGAATCATATCTTTATAAAGAGGTTACGTCTCATCAGGGAAGTCAATGTGTTCGAGGTTCCATTTGAACCATGCAGTGAGCTCGGTCTCCGGCGGTGGTCCTTGTGCAATATGTGCAACTTGTCGCCGGTGGAAGTACACGCGTTGTCGGTTTTCTGCATGGACAGGTAATGCAGAAACAGCAGGATATTGTTCGGAAAGAGCAAAATAGAATATGCGCCAACATGATTCGGCTGCCCCAATTGTGCGTATATCTTGGAATGTTTGAATTTCATCGTTTGTGGTTGTCATTTCGACAACCATGGCTCGATCAGGACCTTTCATAATGTATTCGAACATATGTCGGTAGGCTGCAGTAGATGCGCAAATCTCAACATTCAAATAGCAGCGATAACGCAAGAGAAGGAAAGGGTTGTACGAAACAACCCAAGAATTGTCAAGTTGGATGTTATCTCGAATAATTATTGCACCTCCTTGCATTGTGCGGCTGCTGATCCCAACGAACTGCTTGAAACACATTGGGAACAAATGACGGATGATTTCCATAGAAATCTCCGTGCTGCAAACATTCCCCCTGCAACCATCAAAACTATGCTTCTTATCAACATAGAAAACCGTCTTCAAAAAGAGGGTCATCAATTTCAAGATGTTGGTTTAGCCCCGCCTTCTGACGCTGAACGAATCGAAGCCAACAATCTGGCCGAACAACCGCATCAACAAGATATTCCCCAAATCATTCACGGCGAAATTTCCTATGACAGAGAAAGCCTTCAAAACACACTGGCTACAAATCTCCCCCTGCTTCAACCCTCGCAACACGCCATCTTCCGACGTATCGTTGTCGCGACCGAAAATAACGAACGGCTCTGTCATTTTGTTGATGCGCCTGCAGGGACAGGCAAAACCTTCTGCTTCAACACGGTCCTCGCGCACCTTCGAAATCACAATCGCGTCGCATTAGCTGTTGCTTCAAGCGAGATTGCGGCTACTCTCTTGCATGGTGGTCGCACCTTCCTGACGATTCAAAGCTCCTCTCACCCCAACCCCAACATCAACACTAGATATTCCAAAACAATCTGCGCTTGCCGAACACATTCGAATGACTGCTGTCATTCTTTGGGATGAAGCGCCTATGATACATAGATTCCATGTTGAAGCACTTAACCGCACATTGCAAGATATCTGCTCATCGAATTTACCTTTTGGCGGTAAAATTATTGTTCTTGTCGGTGACTTCCGTCAAATTCTTCCCGTCATCACAAAAGGGACACGTGCGCAAACGGTCGACGCTTGCATTAAATCCTCCATTTTGTGGCGACACTTCAACACCATGCGTCTCTCCGAAAATATGTGTGTGCTTACTCAAATCAACACCGCCGGAGGTCGACATTACACTCAATGGTTGCTTGCACTTGGCGACGGCAATTTGCCCGCTCCCCCGAATGCGGACATCCCCACTGTCGACCTCCCTCCTCGTCTTTGTCTACATGAAGGAACTCGACAACTTATTGATTGGACATTCCCGCAACTTCAAACCAATTCTCCAAACCCGCAATGGCTTGCCGAAGGTTTGATCCTGTCGCCCAAAAACAAAATCGCCTCCACACTCAATTCCATTATACTCTATCAATTTCCGGGACCTTTCATAACATGCCTCAACTCCGACTCGCTCCTGCCCAATGAACAATACCCCGACGTACCTGTCGACGCGCTCAATTCGATTGACATCCCCTCCCTGCCTCCTCACATCCTTCGTATAAAAAAAATGCGTCTGTCATACTTTTGCAAAACATCGCAATGAGAAACAGATTATGCAATGGAACACGACTCGTTGTCGATTCTATTGCTAACAATAGACTGCTGTCCGCACGAATTCTTCCATTCTTCCAACCGATCCTTCTCCCACGCATTCTGCTTACAGTTACCGACCAAACAAACCCTTTTCCATGGCAAAGACGTCAATTCCCTCTCCTTCTTCTTCTTCTCCTTCTCTTCTTCTTCTTCTTCTTCTGAACATCACAGACGACGAGAGGTAGATGGGAGATTATGGGATGAAAGTTCACGACAAGAACCTTTTTCTTTCTGTCCGGACTCCCACAAACTATGAATGTCTGTGTGATAAAGTGGTAATCAGTGAAACAAATGTGTCCCGGTTTGTGTTCATTCCTGTCCCCTACCCCTGTTTGGTAGTTCCATCACAGCTTCTCTTTGATATTCCATTCTTTATTTTATGTTTGCTTTTGCAGGCCTTGACCGAGCCCGATCACGGAAGTGATGCAAGCTCACTCTCAACAACAGCAACTAAGGTGCGGCATCCACAGTGTGGTCATCAAAGTCTATGTCCATCTGTTGCCTTTCTCCCTGCACCTGCTATAGTGTGAGCTCCAAAAAAGTGAGCAATCAATTGTTGATGTGCAATCTAGGTGAATGATGTAATACATCATTCACTCACTTCTGTGGTTCTGTTTATCTCTCCCTTGTCAACCATGTGTGCAACTTTATGTCCATACATGTGACGGGCTTCGTGCACTGAGTTAATCAAGGGCTCTCAGGTTTTATGGTGCTATCAGATTCACCCGCTTCTGTGGTTCTGTTTATCGCTCTGTTGTCAACCATGTGTGCAACTGTATGTGCATACATGGGATGGGCTTTGTACAATGAGATAATCAAGGGCTCTCAAGTTTTATGGTGTTATCAGATGCTGTGGGTTCTCAGCAAGAGTGTACTGAGGTATTTCAGTTGTTGATCGTTGATTAAGAATTTAGAACCATTGATTCATATTTTGGATACAGACATTGGTCATGATCGGTGGATAAGTCGAGTGAGATCTACCAGTCATTCGGGTTGGTAGTTGGAAGTTGGAAGAATATTTCTCTCTGAACCCGGTGAATAACTGGAAAGAGAACTGTGTGCTTTGACTGTGGGTTATGCAGGTGGAAGGGGGATGGCGGATCGACGGCCAGAAGAGGTGGATAGGCAACAGCACGTTTGCTGATGTGATTGTGGTGTTCGCTCGCAATGTTGAGAACAATAAAATCAACGGGTAAGAGCCAGTTTTGTTAATGGAAAGGTCGGTCTACCACGAGCGATCAAATGACTATCAATTCTCAATACAAGGCGGCCGTGCATGCATCAACTGTCTCCAGAACCACGAGAGCATCATAGAAGATTGAAGACAAAGGCAACATGCATGCCTGTGGCTTTATGAAACACACCTGACTATTGATCTGCTATGATCCTGGTCAACTCCCAATGCACAAATCACAAAGAGACAATGTCATTCAAATGAAAGAAGATTGGAAGGAGGATGAGACAAATCAAGGAGAAGGTCAAAGAAAGAAAAAGACGAAGAAGATAAACACAAGCTGGAACCACCTTTATCTCTCCCTCATCTCTCCCTCATCTCGCCTCCATCATCTCCCGCCATATCATCTTAACCATATCTTATTAATAATCATAAACAGCAACAATGAATGAAAGAGCCAGAATGAATGTGTGATTACTCCCCCTTACAGCCAGCCTCATAAAGAGCCCTCCCTTCCCTTCCTACAAGTTCTCTCTACCTTGCAGTGGCATCTGGCTATGATGGCACTTCAAGCCCAGCTCGGATGTTCAAAGGACAGCGCAAACCCTTCCATGTCCCCTCTCCACCTCAGCTGCCAAGCCTACACTACTGGATGAAGTCCACAACTCACCAGTACCCCCTTCAGAGTGCCAACCTTGGAATGAAGATGCAAGTCCAGCATAACCAAAGGGGAGTCTCTTCCCGATTCCTACCTCCTCCTTCCTCCTTTGATCTCTACTACACCTCCATGCCTGGCTAGAGGTCCTTCTCCCTATAGCCCAGGGCTACTTGTACCTCCTCCCTACTGCACTTCCATACCCATGGACATCTTCGTTATCACCATCCAGCTCAACCTTCTTCCTCCAGGAGCTCCGCCACTTCTCCCTTGAGGCGGAGCAGCAGCATGACTGTTGATTGAATCACAAATTCTACTTATGTCCCTGAGAGCTAAACTAGCCCCCGTATGTCCTACCGCTATCTTTCATTCCTACCCGTTCCATCTCTCTGCGAGGGTCTAGGCCTTGGCATAGGGCCCTGCAGCAGGCATGTGCCGCCCTAAGTGAAGGCTGGCCCCCTGAATCTCAATGCGCCCTAAACTCGACAATTTTTGCAAATCTTGGTCAGCGCCAGACAGTTGCCACGCGCCAGTTGGTTGCATCCGCTTTGCTCGGGAGAGTCTGAAATATTTGTGAGCCTTCCAGGCTCTTCCAGCAACGTGGTTGAAGCAGGGAGCACCACAAGTTTGGGCCTGGGTTGTTGGGCATGCCTAACCAATTCGGTCCCACGCCACTGTCTGAACGGGCCTGGGTGCAGACACTTGGGCCGAGACTGAAGCTAGTGGAAACTCGGCCTCATGCGGAAGAGGAAGCCAAGTGCCTGCCACTTTCGATATAGGAAAGGGCGAAAGTGGCAGGGCTCAGTGTCGGGGATAGGGCAGTGCGCACTTGGATGCTGATGCGCAGTGCTGCTAGAGCTAGCGCTCGCGGGCTGCTGCGCCGGTGGATGGCAAGTGTGCTCGCGCGGTAAGCAGGGCGCTGTTGAGGGCAGCGCCATAGCCCAGCCCACGTAGCCGGGCTTGGGCTTGGACAGTTAGCGAGAGGTGGCGGTGGTCTTCGTGTAAGAGGGAGAAGACGTGGGTGATGAAGGAGGGAGGGAGAGAGAGAGAGAGAGAGAGAGAGAGAGAGAGAGAGAGAGAGAGAGAGAGAGAGAGAGAGAGAGAGAGAGAGAGAGAGAGAG